GAAGAAGACAATCCCAAAGGCCCAGGAAGGGAAAGGACTTGCCCCTGGGTCCCACAGGAAGTCCAAGGCAAAGGCTGCCCAGCCAGGAGACTATCTGGCCCAGGATTCCTTCCACTTATCCCACCATCTGCACTTATCAAGGAGGCCCTGGGTGGCATAAAGGGTTAGGTGCTCGACTACTAACTGAAAGGCTGGTGGTTCAAACCCACCCAGGCCTGGCGATCTGCTTCTGAAAGGTCACTGCCATCGAAAACTCTATACAGCAGTTCTACTCTGACACACACGGGGTAGCCACGAGTCAGAATCAACTCGACAGTAACTGGTTGTACTTATCAAAGGGCGGAGACAGGGCAATCTTCATCCTCAGCTCACGGGTTAGGAAGACAGAAGGGCCTATTACTCCCTCCCACTTTCTCAGTGGCCCAGGCACCAAGTCTCAAAGGCCCGAGTATCCTCCTCTCCCCACACAAGGCCCAGTCGCTGCACCCTGTGGACTCTTCTCTTCCATGCATCCCCCACTCTCCAGCCCTGTCATCTCAGGCCTCAAGTTTTCCAGCCCATCTCCTTGCCTCCAGTCCCTGCCCCTCAGTCTAGGTTGTGAATCAACCTACATAGTCCATGATGGGAGACAGGGGAAGAGAGGAGGGGTCAGCTGCCAGGCGAGGAGCCACAGGGCGGCAAACATTTGTCGTCAGTAGTTGGAAAACATTAAAGGCTATAACCTCATGACGCCAGGATGGCCCGTCCTACCCCCTCCAGCGGTACTCTCCGTGTGTGTGCATAGCTGTGGGGTCTCCTCAGCTGGAAGGCATCCAGTCATCCATCCACCCGGATATCTCCTAAAAACTTTAAAGAGCTGGATGCTGCCCTCAAGCAGTTTACAGGGAAGTAAAGGAAATAGGATTTGTCTGGAAGCAACAAATTCAAGGTGGACGGCACTGAGAACTCACTTTAAGGAGCAATACCCGAGCACCTCCATGTGCCAAGCACTGTGCTAGAGCTAAAGCAGACCCTTCGTGTCACTGAGGAGCTCAAGGCTCAGGGAGGGAGGGAGGTGAACCAGATGATGGAGGACAGGTGGATGCTCTCCCTGGGGAGGGCACCATTCACTAAGGCAATCAAGGCAGAGCGTCTGCTCATTTCAATCTGTGTCCTTTAGACGCCCGGCCTCAGAAAACTGATGATCGTTATACGAGATGATGTCAAAGGCTCTGAGTTTTAGAGATGAAAGTGCGAGGATCACCGTCTTGGAGGAAAAGCAAGTTTCCATGAGACTGAAATCACAGCTCTGACTCTGTCTTCTGGATGCATTTAAGCAAAACGTGCAGAACACCAACTCTGCTCTCAGCACTTTCCAATATGAACTCATTTACTCCCACCAACAGCCCTCCAAGGCAGGCACAGGTCATGCTGCTGCGGAGTTGCAGAGCCCAGATATGAGCCCAGGCAGTCTGACTCCAGAGTCTGTGTCCTTAACCACTAGCTGCTGGCCCCAATGTAAAACAAGTGGAGAGAAATGTACTAGGATTTAAAATTAATTTCAGAAGATGTTATCGGCGTATTCCTTCCTGCTCCTTGTCCCTCTTCCCCACGCCCAAAAAAAAAAAAAAAAACAGTAAGCAAAGTTAAGAGTGTTCCTTGACAAATCTGGGTAGTTTCTCTTTGTGACCCTTCCAAAGAAGGTCCAATGTGCCACATGAATGAGCCAGCCTGTGTGTCTTCAAGGCTCATCATGAAGCAGTTGTGAGGGCAATAACACGCTGCATCAGGTTGCTTCATATCTCTCCTGGCCTCATTCCCCGTTTTTTCCCTCATCCTCATCTCCCTGGGCCTGACTTCCCAAATAAAGCATCAGCTTGCCACAGGACCCAGAAAACCTAAAGGACCCAGGTTACACCACCAGTCTAAGGGGCCCAAGGGAAGTCTACAAGGAGGCTCCTGGGAAAGGGATGCACCTGAGGAAATACTATCCTGCTTTGCTGGGCTTCACTGCATCTGCCCGTGATGCCTGGAGCTACTGCAGCCACTGTGTAACAACAAGGGGGGAAAAAAAAATCACTCATCTGCTAAGGATGGCCCAGGTGAAAGAGGGAAAGCATCTGGATCCTTAAGTTACTAAATCAACCAAGCCTAGATCCTTTCTACCCCTAGACTTCTTGTCTGGGAGATGAAGCACCTTTTATTGTTTGAAATACTTTTACTTGGGTCATCTATTATTGCAACCAAGAGAACACTGGTTGGCACAACAACAACAAAGCAAGGTAACTTCATTTTCACGATAATCCTCATTTTTACAGATGAAAAAACTGAAAGGCCAAATAATCTGTCCTCAGGGTCATGACGCTGGTCAGGGATGGGTAGAGCCAGGATGCAATCCACGTCTGCCAGGCTCCCAAACTCTTCTGCTGAGTGGAGAAGGAAAGACACATGCAAACACCACCCAGCAAGATGCCTAGCATGGTGGACACTTAATACTTTTTGAAAGAATAGTATCAACAGAAAGCCCATCTTTCTAAAATTTACTCCAAAGCCTAAACGTGCCTGGGGGTAAAATGGGGAGGAAGCCAGTATCCACAGATTCATACCATGAGCACCAAAGTTAATTGCAGAAAAAGGGAAGTGTTGGGGTACCACTCTCCAAGCAGTGACAGCTAGATGTGGTGACAAGAACAACCACAGCTCCTTCCCCCTCCGAAGAGGACCCAACAAGGCACTGATGGAGAAGGACTCCCAGAAAAAGCCCCCTTTGCAAGTACCCTTCCACAACTGGTCTCTAACCCAGTGGTTCCAGCCCTGATGGGGAAAGAACCAGACGTTCCACAGGCTCTGTCTCATTTACTCCTCACAACACCCTGTGCAATAGGGATTCTAATCCCCATTTTCCAGATGAGGACACTGGGGCTCACAGTACACAGCCTAAGGTCACACAGCAAAGAAATTTCTTGGCGACCATAAACTAGTCCCAGCCACAGAAGGGAGAGATGAAAAGAAGGGGACAGAGGTGCTTCTGGCTGGAGATAAAATAATCACTTTCCACTCTCTGCTTCCCATTGGGTAGAGCCAAGCCTAGTGCCAGGGGCACAGCAGGCTCCAACCAAGGTCGGCTGCTTTCTGTGTTTGACTCTCCCAGCCTTCTCCCTCCCTGGCTTCAGCAGACCCATCAATCAGAGGTTTCTGAACAAGCCCAGCCCGTGGCTAGGGCGCACAGGATCCAGAAGTCACAGTACCTGGACCCAAGCTGAATCAGAGAGCAGTGTTTGCATAAAAGACAGCAGGTGTTGTAGAAGCACTAGTCACAGTAGGCAAAAGGTGGGAACAACTCCAGTGTGCCATTCATGCCTTCTCCTGCAGCCCTGCACGGCACCAGGCCCAGGGCTTGGTGCCAAGGACACAGATGGCACTAAAGGTGACTTTCCAAGAGCCCACGGGCAAGAGAAGCACCACCCCACCACCCGAAATACTTTAAATGACAGTGCAGAGTGGCGAGGAAGCCAGGAGACACCCAGCTGTATAGTCAGGGAGGTGCTCAAGGACACGGTCAGCTTGGGACAGAGAGGGAGGGGCCCTGATGGCTTAAGAGCAACACTGCAGTAGAAGAGTGGCAGGAAATATCACCTAACGAGTGACACAGCCTGGGAATTTTATGCTAGTTGATTCTACTTACTGTAATATTGATTGAGCCCTTAACTCTGGGCCAGTCACTGCTACAGGTGTTATAGTCATCACCTCGTTTAAGCCTTCCAATAATCCCATGAGGCAGAAACTGTGCTTACCCCCATTCTACAGATGAGGAAACTGAGTCTTGGGAAAGCTAAATTCCTGACCCAGCATCTTACAGCTAGTAAGTATAAGACTCTGGCCCGGGTCTGCCTGAACCTGAAGCCCTTGATCCTTAACTATTCCCTGGGCAGTGAGCTACTTCATTCCCGGCCAAGTCTCGACTGAGACCATGAAATCCAAAGGCAAGTTCAGGGCTGCAGGTCACAGACCTCTCTGCCTGTCCAGGGCTTTGAGGGTGGGTTCCATTAGCCCATTTGAAGTGACTGAATTAAGAAGCCTTCTGCACTATTCTCAAAAACAACAGGGTTTGGGGGCACATGCACAGAGCAGCCTGGATTTTAGCAAGTGACAAAGCTGCTGGTTTTCCATTATACACGTTTCATTTTCAGGGATGGTTAATAAGTGACTGAATAACACAATGGGTAACAATAGGCTCTTTATCCTTCTAAAACCAAGCCCACACACCATATGACAATAGTTATTTTTACCCACTGACGTAATTAACCAAAATGTGAACAGCTTCAAGCAATTTTTAAAATCAAACAGCATTTTATGGGATTCGGGGCGTGCACAGATTTCAAATCTGAAAGGCCATCATTCTTTCTGTCCCTCCTTTACCCCCTTATGAAATGTATACAACAGCTCCCTGCAAAACTGGCCCCTGGAAGGTAAATCACTGATCACGAAAAGGGCAGACAGGGGGAGGCCCTACCCCAATGAACCCAGAAGCCAGGCAACAAACGTCACGACAGGAAACTTCCCAGAAGGCAGGTATGGAGGTGGGGGAGGCCTGGGTACCTGGCATCCGTTTCCACCCTAGAATCCAAAAGGCAGGGGATACGCAGGCCAGCAGGCAGGCACAGGGCTCCCACAGCAAACAACAACC